TTGAGCGACACACACACTCTTAATTAAGCTTCCATTCAAGGACTTCAATCACGTAGCCCCCTTGGTCAGAGGGGCCTTCCTACCAGTAGGTGGCAGTAGGCCTGCAGGAACCAGAAACACACGCGCAAGTCCAGTTCATCCACTTGAGTGTGGTAAGAGCCTACTAGGGTTCACCTGGGAATCAAGTGTATTTTTTCTCTCTAATGTCGAGCAAAGCTATTGGCTGACCATAGGAGGGGAGCCTGGGGGAGTGACAGCTCTGCCTTACATGTAGCACAGAGGAATGACCGGGTGCTCAGCGCTGCGGGGCCCCGCCAACCTGCTCGGTGCCGCATCCAAAGTCACCTGTTGGATGTGTGGGGAGCTTTTAAAATACCAATGCCCTGGTTCACTTGAGTGGTTTTATTTCTACATACTACATGCACCCAACAGGTGACTGTATCTGCTATCACATTCATTTACCTGGCACCTTTTTGTGAGGTTCCAAAATAATTTGGAAACATCTAACGAACCTCCCAGGGACTCAGCCAGGGAGATGAAACGTGAGTGGGGAATGGGGCCATGCACGGCAAAGAGCAGTTCACAGGCCCCTGGGGAAGGCAGTACAGTTGGTTGAATAGTATCCCCGGAAAATTCGTGTCCACCTGGAACCCTGGAATGTGACCTTCTTTGGCAGGAGGGTCTTTGCAGATGTAATTATATCCACAAGTTATGATGAGGTCACACTGGGTTAGAGTGGGCTCTTAATCTAACCACTGGGGTCCTCATGAGTGTCGGGGAAGAAGGCCATGAAGATGGAGGCAGAGGTTAGTGCTGCGAGTCCAAGGACGCCCAGGAACACGTGGAGCCACCAGCAGCTGGAGAAGCAAGGAGGGAGCCTCTCCGGAGCCTTCAGAGGAACACGGCGCTGCCAACACCTCGACCTAGGACTTCTGGGCTGCAGAACCGTGAGACCACAGATTCCCATTGTTTAAGCCACCAGGCTGAGGGTCTTTGTTATGGCAGCCCTGGCAAAGTAACAAGGCACAGACAAACCAAAGGCCAAACCCTCAGCCCCACTCCGGAGTGCTCATTCTGTTCATCACACTCAGGGAGGCCTTATTTCTTATTGAGTGGTCAGTGTTTTATGCACTCTCCCATCTAGCACATTTCCCAGTCCTCCACAGATCCAGGAGAGTGCAAGGGACGAATGACGACAGCCCTATTCACTAGGTCGTGGGTATGATTTAAACTTGCTTTTTCTAAAATTCACACTTGTTCCTAATCTGGTTCCTTCCGCGTTTGCTATTTGTTTCCTGCAGGCTCAGGGTCTGGTAAACCCCAAGTTCATGCCATTAGAGACTGTTGTTCTTCAAACACTCTTTTCCAAGAGCTGGAAAGGCTCAGGAGACTAGCAAACACTGCCTTTCTATGACAAGAGAGGGGAGGAAAGTAGAAACCAGACAGAAGCAATAGGGAGAGTTTGGAGGCAGCAGGCAAGGGGAGAGGGGCAGTGTTGGGGGACAAGGAACAGAAATGATGGGGCTACCCGTGGGGGGCCTGGATGTGACAGGAGTCCCAGGCAAGCTGAAGGAGGAGGAAACCAAGCTGGCCTTTGAGGCCATGACACTGTAAAGCGAGGACAGAACACAACACAACTGCCGCAGCCTCGCAGGCTGTCATTCCATTGCTAATTGTGGGCCTCTGTAACCGAACAGCCAGTGTGTCTTTAAACTCCAACTCCAGTTCCCTAAGCTAATACTTAAACAGTAGTTTAATACTGTTTGTTTAAAGTAAAATCCTCCTGGTAACCTCCTAATCCAGCCCGACGGGTTGCCTCATTATTTTGAAGCTTGTATCTCTCGTTTCAGTACAGGAAACACTTCTAGGTGCCATGGGGCTCAGGCCGTGGGATTCTTTTCTTTGTTTTTCTTTGCAGGACTTCCAACTACTTAAGGGGACCAAGCATTTCTAGAGATTTAAAAAAAGGGGAGGCCCTATTTTGGCCTTTCTGAAATCTCATTTCTCAACAAGTGGTCAGATAGTGGAAGGAAGTGGCGTTTTGGTTAAATGCCCTCCAATCCAAAGGCAGTGCTTTCCTCTTCCTACTTTGCTCTCACTAAAATCTACCGAAAACCTCAGCAGCATTTTTGTTTTTGTTTTTTGGGTCAGTGGGGAATCTTGTTCTCTGCTGAGAAGCAATAGAATTGCCACTGTTTCAAATGAACACCCTTTGCAGCAGCGAACACCGGTCAGAAAAGGAGGGATGAAAGACACCTGATACTTCACGTATATGCCATTCATGCAACGCCAACTGGGTCCAATCCAGAAGTGCCATTTCTCTTGTCAGAAAGTTCGGCTGAATTTTCTAAGACACCCTGACCTAATTTAAAATGTTTTCCTTCTTTTTCTCATACATAACATGATAAGCTGTTCATTCAATCATTTTCACTTCTCTGCCACCCTGTCCCATGATCAAAGAGTGTTATTAGCCACCCTAAGGACACGTTCAGTAATCGGGCCATCCAGCAGCGGCACATCAGAGCGCCATCTCCAACACCAGCATGCCTAAAAAGTGGCTTAGCTCTTTCTTCTCCTTTGCCCATAGCTATCTTTGCACTTCAAATAGCCGTTGTGCAGACACACATACCTGAATGACACTACATATTATTGAGAGGATGATAATATGTAAAAAGAAAGGACATATCCTCGGGACTAAATAACAGAGGCAAGAAAGTCACTCTTGAGTAGCAGCCATCTTTCAGTTTTCCATATTTAAAAAGTGATCCTGTCTCTCTCGCTTACCTATCCATCCCCAGCTAGTCACCCACAACATTTTTCTGCTGCGATGACTTGGTTAGTTGTTCCTCTTCCCATTAACACCAAATTGCATTCTACACCAGGCAACGAAGCTGCCTCAGTAACTGAAATAACAGCTACCTCGACCATGTCAGTGCCGTGTGGACTCTAGCTCTCCTACTAAGACCGCATGATTGCCCATTTTAAGTCAATAGAGCCTGTTCATCTCTATTGTATTCTTTTAAATACCCTAATCTATGTCATCAACTCAAAATTTCAATGGAAAACACATCTCTGGTTCCGGGATAAAATCATCTTCTGAAACACCTTCCTTGATTTGAATATTTGCAAATGATTCAGATAGCCTGAAACTCCAGAGCAGCGATTTTCAACCTTCTTCATCTCATGGCATACGTAAACCCAGTACTAAAAATTCTGTAGCACACCAAAAAACCCCCCACACAAAATGTATTTTTTTGTTGATCTGACCAAATATAGGTATAATTTTCATTCATTCACACTGGACAGCTATTGTGTTGGCTGTTGTCATTTTTTTATTTGACAATCTAAGGGAAAGCGGTCAGTGCCCCTGACTAAATAGTCAGGTATTACATTGTTTTAAACATTTTTGAAAGTACAGTTGAAAAGCGCTGGTCTAGAGTATGGAGGTGAATGGCCTTTTCAGAGCAGTGCAGATAGCTAGGGACATAGAGCCTGAACCAAATGTTTTAATAAGGGCAGTGGAATAATGAGCTAAGGTACCCTATCCTTTTAATTTTGTGTCAAATCACAGGAGAAAGCAGGATAGCTGGCCTAATTTACATACACATATGTGGGGCGATCCTTAAAAGAAATTTCAGATGTTATCTGGTGTGCATAAGTCATTTGCGTTTAAATGATATCTTTTTTAAAGGGGTATAAACAGTATTGTCCATTAGTACAAATAGTAGCACCAGGGGATTAGGTCACAAGGACCAAGAGAGAAATGCTGTATCTTAAAGGAGGAGAAACATTACAAGAGAAATCTGAGTACGTTTGGTTACAACACCGAAAACAATGTCAGCACAGAAGCCTCCAAGTGCCCTTCAGGTAAGGATGGCTCTGATTAAGAGAATTCAAATTATGTCAAGAGGCAGGAGAGACAAAGCTGTTTCCCTTCACGTGCTTTTCCTTTCCGCTCTCTTTCATAATCTTGAGGCAAATAAAAATACTGAAGGGAGGGTACTGGGCTGTATCCTTTCAGATCTGGAAGAGCATACAAAATAATAAATCTCCAGCAGGAAAACATACCCTAGAGTTACAAGGTAATGGTGCAGAACTTTCTAGATATGTTGCCATCAAATTTAAGTTTATTGTGAAAGTTTATGGTAGAATATGTGATGAAACAGTGGAATTTGGAGAAATGACTGTACCTACTGTGGACAAGCCTAGTCTGCAACACCTTGTAATTTAGAATAAGTCACAGATGGTCAGAGCTGGAAGGGGTCTTAGAGATGGTTTAATGATCCATTTTATAGATGAGAAAACTGAGGCCCCCATAGAGTGATTGATTAATTCAAGGTCAATGATGAATGAGAGGCAGAGACAGGCATAGAATCCAGACGTCTATTTGTAATTAATTCACTTCCCATTTGGCTCTGCAACAGGTGAAGGGACTAATTTGAAGGACTAGAACAACTGTAGGGGCTACCATTTCTGGGGATCCATAAGCTCCAACTATTTTCCTATTAATACTGAGGTGTTATTTGCCTTTTCATTCTCACTCCCTGTCACGGGTGTACATGTGAAGTACAGTGATGTGCCGTTCTGCAACAGACCAATGTAGGAACATATGAGAGGCCAGCTTCTGCTAAGTCACACATTAGGGATTGTAAAAATGTAAAATGATGCCACTCTCCTCACTAAATTTATTTTTGTTCTGGATTACATAGTTATTTTCATAAACATTTAATAGAGTTATTATTTTAAATGAATTAATAACATTTAAATACTTTCTCATTTTAATTTTTTAAAAAATTATCTTTATTGTTCAGAGTATTATCAGTTTAATTTTTAACTATGAACTTACATACAGAAAAACTCTTGGGTTCCTCAATAACTTTTAAGAGTATAAAGGGGTCCTGAAATGAGAAGGTTAAAGAATGACTATACTAGAACCATAAACAAATAGAAAGGAAACAATGATGAAAGTGGAATTGTACAAAAGCCATTCTCAACATAAAACCTCCACTCTTTCCTTTTTTGGCTGCATCTCTCACTTTTAAAAGCATGACTGAACGTGATGGATGTGGGACTTGTGTCAATCATCAGTAACAAGTACAGCGATTGGGTGCTGCATGGTTCCACGTGTAGGTAGGGCTGGATTGGACTGTCCGCTCTGCCATCTACCAGCTCAGAGAGCTGATCAGGTGCTTCGGTCTCCTTATCTGCATCAATGGAGACACATATAACACCCACCTTCATGAAAGAGCTACTGTAAGACGAGCACCAGGACAGTGCCTGGCCGAGGTCACATGCTTAGTTTGGCTATTATTATTATTCTTCAAAATGCTCTGCTTCCAACAATACCAGACTGTTTCCCTCACGCCGAGGTCACATGCTTAGTTTGGCTATTATTATTATTATTCTTCAAAACGCTCTGCTTCCAACAATACCAGACTGTTTCCCTCATACCATTCTTCTTGAACATTCTCATTCTGTATTGAAATTTAAAAAGAACCAATGCTTAGTAACCCAAGTTGTCTCTGTATCCTCTACGTTTTTTGTGCTATGTTTACCTTGTTGTCTGACTTTGGATGCGCCGTTTAGCTTCTCTAGGTCTACTTTGCATATTGCAAAGGAAGCATAATTCCTAATCCAGGCAGCAGTTAAGAGTGTGGCTCGGGGCTAGTGTTTACTGGCTGCATAACCAGGACAAATTGCATCATCTCCATGAGCCTTAATTTCCTTATCTGTAAAAAGTAGAAGCTAGTAACTACATCTGCCTCATGGGGTTGTTGTGAGGATTAAATAAGTTAATATATATAAAGTATTTAGAACAGTGTCAGGCATGTAGGAAACACTCAAAAATGTTTCACACCTTATTGTTATTAGCTACAAAATAAGATGAGGTTACATCAGTTTTTCTCCAACCTTGGGGAGAAGAATTTCCACTATCTTGTTGCTCTCTCCATACGCTGACTCCCCTCTGCCTTCCCTTTCCTGTCCTGTCCTCCAGTGCTTCTGAACCACAACAAAAGCTGGGCTGGGAAAACTGGTCAGCAGACCACACCAGCCAGCTAACCACCACCACCTTCTCTTTCCGTTTCCAACCCCCATGATTCCTTTTTATCTACTTGACCCTCAACTGTTCTCCATACAATCAGTGATGGGTCCTGCAGCTTTTCCCTATGGCTTCTGAGGCAAGCGCCATCCTTTGCTGAAATGCTTTGCTTTCAATATCAAAGACATAAAACAAGAAAATTAGACCCTAATAAAACCAGATAAGAAGCAGTGTTCTCATAGATGAAACTGATGGTTACCAAGGAGGAACAAAATGATTAATAAGGCAACTTTTCTACCAAAGGACTAAGGGATAATGGAAAAGGAACTGGTACCGGCAATGCCATTTAACCACCTTGTGATCTTACATCCCACTCAGCAGTCTCACACTCCCTCGGTTGGTGCAAATCTGGTTTTTGTAAAGATCCGCACAATTGGCTCATGAAGATGAGGTTTCACATGGTCTTTCATTTCAGCTTTCTTGGTTTCTACTTTCAGATGTAACAAAACTTAGCATGAAACCAAAAAAAGTACTGTATATATTTTTTCTCTATTTAATTTCTTATCTTCTTGGTTATGGAGAGGAACCAACTCTTCTGTGAAGATTTTGCAATATACACATACCTTACTTTTTAAAAGCGTGAAGAGGAGCATTGCTTAGTGGGAAAAAATTCTGTTTGCCACAACCAGGATGTGCAGGGGTTGTAAAAAAAACTCTTCCATAATATTTTTATCTGGGGAGGAAGCTTCTATTTTATATAGTAGGTCTTCACGGAAAACCTCTCTGAGAAGGAGATGTTTGGGCAGAGACCTGAAGGAAGTGAGGGAATAAGCATGGGACAGCTGAGATGGTGCCCAGTAGTAAGAGCAGAGGTCCTGAGCAAAAACATGCTTGGTCTGAAGGAGGAGCACGGAGGCGGCCAGTGTGGCTGGAACAGCATCGGTGAGGAGGATAGAGGCGGGGGGCGGAGGTCAGAGAGGCGGGGAGACCAGACTGGATAGGGCCTTGAGGACTGTGGAGTTTACTCCAGGAGAGAGAGGGAGACACTAGAGGGCTTTGGACTGAGGAGTAAAATTTTGGGTGACTGAAGTCCTGCAGAGTACACCTAGGAAAGGCAGTGCCACATTGGGGGATATGGAGAAGCACAAAATGAGGTGGGAGGTGTGCTACTACGAGACAGTGGTGTCAGTTCCCGACGTCGAGCTGGCACACGAACAGTGATGTGGTGTACAGGCTCAGGCTTGGCAAAACTTTAAAAAGCAGAAAAAACTCTAAATCAACATTTCCCTGTCCCATGAGATTTTGTGCGGGTGTATAAGGACGTGGAGAATGAGCATGAGAGGTACTTTTCAGGGGAAATACTCTCCTCGTTTACAGTCTAGAGTAGTGTCCTAGGCCTCATCTAACAATCCAATTATGCCTCTAGAGCAGCGGTTCTCAACCTGTGGGTTGAGAACGACCTTTTCACAGGGGTCACCTAAGACCATCGGAAAACACATATATAATTACATATTGTTTTTGTGATTAATCACTATGCTTTAATTATGTTCAATTTGTAACAATGAAATTGGGGGTCACCACAACATGAGGAACTGTATTAAAGGGTCGCGGCATTAGGAAGGTTGAGAACCACTGCTCTAGAGACAACCTGAGGGACACTAAAGGGTGTCCACACACACGGTCTCTGTGAGGTGGGCAGGGCAGGCGTTATTTCTCTTCTTTGGCAAATAAGGGGACACAGCCTGAGAGGTCCCTGCCCAGATCACACAGCTGCTTGGTGACTACGGAGGGAGGGAGCGAGCCAAGATTTTGGATGCTGAATTCAGGTTCTTCCCACAATCCCCCTTGGTGCCTTTCAGGGTACCAAGGTTTCAAGGCAGTCTCCCTCAAATGAAGAGTCACACACAAGACAATATAGTTGAGTCAAAGACGACATTACTTGGGGAAAAACACCGAGGAGCTGCACTTTGCTCAGCATTAGGGCATCTGCCCTTTTATTACACCTGGTGATTTAGTACCTTACCCTAGATAGTATTCTTTTGTGTAACGTTCTACGTGAATGGTGGGAAAACATGGCTTGTGAAAAGACGCACCATTTGTAGAAGTGACAGGGTGCCCCTGTTTCTTTGAACACCCCAGCATGCCTGGTCTTACAGAACTTGTTCTGTGTAAACCATGATCTGTATCCATTTGTAAACCAGCAGGGAAGGGGAAGAAACTAGAAATTACTTACTAAATAAACATCGAGCACGGAGGCGTTATCGTCCTGCATTTCCAGAGCATTGGGCTCAGAAGTCAAGTAGATGGTCCCCTCTTCTGAGGTAAATGTTGAACTGGAAGGTAACCCTTTACTGGAGAAATAAAGAAGAGTAATGATGAGCATGTGACCTCCAGAACAAAACCCAAGGACACCTCCCAAATTGTAGTTGAGCAGGCGAGGAAAGGTTTTAGGGATATAACGTTTTTGTTTTTTTGAGCGTTTGAAGGAAATATGGTTACACCTGAGATGTGCTCACTTGAGTTTAAATAATTTGGTTTGACTTATAGTGAATTTTCTGTCTCCTTCGGTATATGAAACATTTCTTCACATTTCTGAGAGGTGATCTGTGGGTCCCAGGCCTTGTCAGGGAGAATTACTGTGACTGTCCAGGACCACTGTCATCTTTGACTTTGAATAGTTGCTTCTCGATGCTTACGTTTCCCTCTTACAGTATTACTCATGCTTTGCTAGTTTATAGAAGGTAACCTTGTGCATAGTTGGCATCGATGATTTCTTTCTATTGCTTTTTTCCTTTCTTCTTCTTTTTGGCAAGAAAGGTTTAACCACAGCCAAGGTTTTGAAACGTTGGTGTGCATCAGAAGCCCCTGGAGGGCTGATTAAAACCCACTTTCCCGGGCCCCACCCTCCAGAGTTTCTGACTCAGTGGGAGCCCATGGGTTTCTGTGTCTAACAAGCTCCCAGGTGATGTTCATGCTGCTAGTCCAGTGATGGCGAACCTATGACACGCGTGTCAGAGGTGACACGCGAACTCATTTTTTTGGTTGTTAAATGGCATTTAAATATATAAAATAAATATCAAAAATATAAGTCTTTGTTTTACTATGGTTGCAAATATCAAAAAATTTCTATATGTGACACGGCACCAGAGTTAAGTTAGGGTTTTTCAAAATGCTGACACGCTGAGCTCAAAAGGTTCGCCATCACTGTGCTTGTCCAAGGCCTACACTGTGAGTGGCAATGAATTACATAAACACATAAATGAATCACATGAATACCGAGCGTGTGCTTTGTGAGGGTAGCCTAAATGTACCCTCAGTAACAACAAAAGCCCAAGTCAAATCGAAGAGTCATTTATGAAGGGAAACCACCATGTTTTGTCATGATACCAGTGCTTGCTGTTTAGGTAATCGGTCCATTTTCATAGTATTTAAATTGGGGATTAAGTTAAGGGCTCAGAAATGCACAATCTTTGCCCCACTGAAATGAAAGTTAGTTATGTTTTTAACCTGTGGAAATTTGCCATGTGGTGGTTTTGCGGGAGCAAAATATCTGCAGACAATGGTGGAAGAGTGTGATACTGGTGTTAGAGGAGATGGGGAACTAACTTTGGCAGTGGGCTGTGGCTTTCCCTGGGCAGTAAGTAGGGCTGAGAGCAGGAGTGTGGGAGACTGGCTTCCACTCTCACCTCCCCTGTTACCAGGGCCTGTCCCCTTCTGGGCTCCACTCAGAGCTCACCCCTCATGAGAACCCCCATCTACAGCCATCCTCTGAGTTTCTTGTCTGAGCCTCCCAGGAGGATGGGAGATATTGAAGACATTGTATTCCCCTGCCCTTTCCTATTCTATTTCTGTATTTATCTAGTAGTTGAAGGTATGTGAAATAGTTAGAAGTCCTGACCTTTACAATATCAAAAATTCTTTATGAAAAGAATTGTGTGATCTTAATAAATCACATTCAGCCCGGCTGGCATGGCTCAGTGGTTGAGCGGTGACCTATGAATCAGCAGGTCACGGTTCAATTCAGGGCACATATGTCTTAAAAAAAGAAATCATGTTAATTTGAATTATAAAGAAAATTATAAGAATACAGACCAGTGCTAAGAGGAAGTGAAGGGAGGAATCTCCCATAAGTCTTCCAGTTGATGGTATTTGAGAATGTGGGAATCAAAGAACTAAAACCACTTCACTTTTGGCTTGATACATTTTCTCCTAAATTCTGGACACAGTATAAGAGTTCTCTCTCTTTTAAAAAAAAATCTTTATTGATTTCAGAGAGGAAGAGATAGAAACATCAATATGAAAGAGAATCATTGGTTGGTTGCCTCCCGCACGTCCCACACTGGGGATCGAGCCTACTACCCGGGCGTGTGCCCTGACCCGGAATCAAACCGTGACCTCCAGGTTCATAGGTTGAAGCTCAAGCACTGAGTCATGCCAGTCAGGCTAGAAGTTCTCTTGCTGATCAAAAACCTAAGATGGGTTATACAATATGGGAAACAGAGTCTGCTCCAATTGATTTCAAAGAGCAGGGTGAATGTGGCTCCCCCCATCTAGCTGTTGTTTGTTATAAACCTTCACAGATTTCTTGGGTTAAGTAAATCACCAGTTTTCAAGGGCTGCTATTTTGAGAGGCACTGTGTAGCAATAAACATGACCCAGGTTATTTTTTGGATCAAAACAATGATGCAGTTATGGACTTTATTTGACTTTTGCCTTTCAGCTGTTAAAATGCCATTCACTACTCCTGTGGGTACAAAATGATCCTGCTGCTTAAGCCTTATGAGAAAGATCAATTATTTATCTACTTAAACCTCAAAACTAAAAACAAGATGGTCAGAAAATATGTAATTGTGGTGTGCCTCTGGGTTTTTATTTCTATTTTTTAGGGGGGGCATTTGAGTTTATATATAATTAAATAAACCTCTAATGCAGTGGTTCTCAACCTTGGCTGCACATTAGAATCACCTGGGAATCTTTTAAAAATCCTGACTTCTGGGCCCAGGATTTTAAAAAGATTCCCAGGTGATTCTAATGTGCAGCCAAGGTTGAGAACCACTGCTCTAATGGATCTTGTGTTATTTTGTAAACATATAATTTATTTGATGAGATTCAAAACTAAATTTTCCCCTTCTTGTCTGAGTGTTTAGTTATTAATCTTATCGATATCCCTCCTAAGATTAAGGGGATTACTGAGAATATTCTAGAAGTGCTTTTCTTTTTAAAATTATTTAAATGGCACTACTTGTAGTGTAAAATAAAAAGTCATCCTCCTCTTTCTACTGACCTCTTGTGACCCAGAGATTCACCTCCCCAGAAGCAAACCCAGTTTGCAAATATTTTTCAATCTAATATTTATCTTTTATTTTTGGAAACTAGGAGTAAGCTACTAGCCTGTTTAAGACAACATTAAAATATAAAAGAAACCTAGAGTATTAATAGGTACATTTATGAATTATTTTAGTTAAAATTGAATATGATTACAGAAAAAAGAAATACCCAATTTTCTCAGTATCACATCGTCAAAATTTGATAAAATCTAATAGGCATATTTAAAAAAACACCACATTGCTATTTACACTGTTTTCCACGTGTATTAGAATAGTTTCCTGTCTTAGTAAGTAGAATATTCTGAGCATTAAGTTTGGGGACAAAAATGAGACTCACAGGGACTTGTATCAGATTATCTAGAGAACTCATAATGCAACAATGACAAGGTAAATAATGCATTTTAGAAATAGGTAAAGGATCTGAATAGACATTTCTCCAAAGAAGATATACAAATAGACAGTAAGCACATGAAAAGATGCTCAACATCACTACTTATCAGGGGAATGCAAATCAAAACCACTATGAGATAGCACTTTGTACCCACTAGGATGGCTGTAATAAAAAAGACAGACAAACAAGTGTTGGAAAGAATGTGAGAAATTGGAGACCTCCTGCATTGCTGATGAGAATGTAAAGTGATGCAGCTACTTTGGAAAACCGTTTCATGAGTCCTTAAACCATTTGAGCCAGCAATTTTACTCCAAGGTATATATCCAGTAAAAACGAGATTTTTTGAGGTTGAATTATTGCTAAATTAAGAAATAGGGAATTCCCACAAAAAACCAGTTTCCCACAACTTCTTATGAGAAACCAGAACAGCTGGCAACTCTGAGTAGCAATGAAGTTGTGGCTGCTCCCTTTAAAATGGGCATATCCCCTCCAGTTCACTAGGGTCCCCACTACTCTCCTCTGCATTATACTGGGCCTGTTCTACTTTGCATCGTCTCTGTCTGGCCCCTCTGTGTACCTCTCAGCCCACCACTTCCACCTCACAGATGAGGAAGCTGAGGCCCAGGGAGGTGCAGTGGCTTGCCCAGGGTCACACTGAATACAGATTTGCCAAAACCAAGGCAGCTAAGCCAATGTGCTTAGGAACTTGAATATAATCATATAAACCAGCAAAAAACAAATGCAGTATATGATGCTTGATGTGAACTGGGGAATTTTTGTTGTCTTGAGAAGAGTAAAGATGGGCCGAAAAGGTTGAGAAAAAATAAGTAGGTAGAATATGCTTTACAAAGCAACATCGTTTGTAGTCATAATGTCTTTATTATGTTAAATTATAAACCGGGTGTTTTATAAACAAATGAAATTCAATGATCACAGTTTGAAACTTTGCATATTATTTATTGTTTTGTACTTATAAGATACATATATTTCAGTACAAATTTTCTTTTTAAAAATTTATTGGGGTAACATTAACATTATGTTTTAAGTGTATGATTTTATAATATATCATCTGTATATTGCATTATGTGCTCACCACCAAAAGTGTAGTCTCCTTCGATCACCCCTTTACCATCTTCATCCTTCTCTCGTCCCATTTCCCCCTGGTAACCATCATAGTATTGTCTGTGTCTATGAGTTTGTGTGTTTTGTTTGTTTGTTCTTTCTGTTTTATATCCCACATATGAGTGGGGGTTCTTGTCCTTTTCCATCTGACTTGTTTCACTTAGCATGATGCTCTCAAGATCCATCCATGTTGTCGTAAAATTGCAACATTTCATCATTTTTTATGGCTGAGTAGTATTCTACTCTATGCATGTACCACATCTTCTTCATCCAGTCATCTGCCAAAGGACACTTAGGTTGTTTCTATGTCTATTATGAATAATGTTGCACTGAACATAGTAGTACATATATCTTATGAATAAGTGTTTTCAAAATTTTGGGGTTGATACCCAGAAAAGGGTTTGCTGGGTTATATGGTAGCTCTATTCTTCTTTTTGTTATTTTTATTTTGGTATCTCTATTCTTAATATTTTTGAGGAATACCCATACTGTTTTCCATAGTGGCTACACC